AACAAAAGCCCAGGGCCAGATGGCTTCCCAGGGGAATTCTACCAAACATTTCAAGAAGAATTAATACCTATTCTTCTGAAACTGTTCCAAAAAGTAGAAATGGAAGGAAAACTTCCAACCTCGTTTTATGAGGCCACCATTACCTTGATTCCCCAAACCAAAGACCCCATCAAAAAGGAGAATTACAGACCAATATCCTTGATGAACATGGATGCAAATATTCTCACCAAAATACTAGCCAATAGGATCCAACAGTACATTAAAAGGATTATTCACCACGACCAAGTGGGATTTATCCCTGGGCTGCAAGGTTCAACATCTGCAAATCAATCAATGTGATACAATACATTAATAAAAGAAAGAACAAGAACCATATGATCCTCTCAATAGATGCAGAAAAAGCATTTGACAAAGTACAGCATCCTTTCTTGATGAAAACTCGTCAGAGTACAGGGATAGAGGGTACATACCTCAATAGCACAAAAGCCATCTATGAAAAACCCACAGTGAATATCATTCTCAATGGGGAAAAACAGAGCTTTCCCCCTAAGGTCAGGAACACGGCAGGGATGTCCACTATCACCACTGCTATTCAACATAGTATTAGAAGTCCTAGCCACATATATATATACAATGGAATATTATGTAGCCATTAAAAGGAATGAGATCTTGCCATTTACAATGACATGGATGGAACTGGAGGGTATTATGCTGAGCGAAATAAGTCAAAAAGAGAAAGATGTGGGGGTGCCTGGGTGGCTCAGTTGGTTAAGGTCATGATCCTGGAGTCCCGGGATCGAGTCCCGCATCGGGCTCCCTGCTCAGCGGGGAGTCTGCTTCTCCCTCTGACCCTCCTCCCTTTCATGCTCTCTCTCTCTCATTCTCTCTCTCGCAAATAAATAAAATCTTAAAAAAAAAAAATTAAAAAAAAAAAAGAGAAAGATGTGTATCATATGACCTCACTGATATGAGGAATTCTTAATCTCAGGAAACAAACTGAGGGTTTCTGGAGTGGGGGGTGGGGTGGGAGGGATGGGGTGACTGGGTGATAGACACTGGGGAGGGTATGTGCTCTGGTAAGCGCTGTGAATTGTGCAAGACTGTTGAATCTCAGATCTGTACCTCTGAAACAAATAATGCAATATATGTTAAGAAAAAAAAAGAAGAAGAAGAAGTAGAAGGTAGCAGGAGGGGAAGAATGAAGGGGGGGAATCAGAGGGGTAGACGAACCATGAGAGACGATGGACTCTGAAAAACAACTGAGGGTTCTAGAGGGGAGGGGGGTGGGAGGATGGGTTAGCCTGGTGATGGGTATTGAGGAGGGCACGTTCTGCATGGAGCACTGGGTGTTATGCACAAACAATGAATCATGGAACACTACATCTAAAACTAACAATGTAATGTATGGGGATTTACATAACAATAAAAAATTTTTTTAAAAAAGAACTCCCCATATCAAACACCCATAAACTTTCCTCCTTCCAGCCCCAAGCCCAACTTTAAGGAATTCTGGTCATAGCATGCATGCATTCATTCATTCATTCATTCATTCCTCTAACTATATTCCATGAATGCTTCTGGGCCAATGTTTGTGTTAGGTCTGGTAATCATTTAATGCCAGGGACACAGCACATGGCTGTGTCTTATTGTCCTATGCTTGTGTCCTATTGTCCTATGTCCTATATCGTCCTAATGCTTGCCATCTGACAGGAAAGACAGACAATAAATAAAAATATAATAATAGAAATACATTATATATTGCTGTTACCTATTGCTAGATAACAAAAAATCTCCAAATAATACAACCACCTTTATTCCCCCTCATTGTGTGGGTCAGCTGGGCCCAACAGCAGCTCTTTTGCTCTGTGTGACATGGTCTGGGCTTACAGTCATCTGAAGATCTGAATGGCCGAGAATATTCCAGAATATGTTGCTTCTCAGTGGGGAGTGCACTGAGGCTGTTAAATGCTGCTTGCTGCCATTATGGCCTATTGGTGCCATCTGGTGTTAATCCAGGTCTTGAAGACTAACAAGTTTAGGGAGAAAAGAGAAACCAATAGAAGCCCAGCTGGTGCTGAATATTGCTTTGTATGCTCTCAGGACTTCTCCTTCAGTTGTCCAAACTCAGCTTTGCCTTTCTCTGAAAGAGGGTAACACCCTCACTGTTTTCTCTCTCTCACCCCTTTAGCCAGCCTTTGCTGGTCTCCCCCCATGATCCCTCAGCATCGTCACCTGGACCTGCTTCCACCAACCACCAGACAGGAGCAGGAAAGGACCCTGGGACCAAAAACAACACCCTGGAGCAGAAGCTCAAAGCCTTCCCTCCCCTCAAGTCCCAACCCATCCACCCACAGAGCACAGGGCACCCCTGAAAGACAGGTCCTATTACCTCTTCCTCCAGGCCAGGCAGTGGTCACAAACACAGCACCTTCTCTCCCTAGCTGTCTGGATCCCCACCTGCATGAGCATGAGCACCTGTGCCCCAGGGCTGCTGTCTGCTTGCCAGTGTCGCTCAACTACAGACACTGAGCCCAACTGCAGCTCAGCCTCCTCCCTCCCCTAGCCCTGAGCCAGCAGCTCCTAACCGGAAGGCACATCAGAAAGCTCAGGGGACCAGCAGGCACAGTCTAGAAAAAGAGGGCTGCAGCGGGGTCTGTACATGACCTGACTCAGGAGCGCCCAGGCTCACAGAGGCCTGACCTTGCCCTCCACCCTCCCCCCTAGCCCAGGCTCCCAGGCTACACTTGACCTTCCCTGCTCCTTCTTGGTCCACTTGCACCTGGAATCACAGGTCTTCCCCAAGTGTGCTTGGCTATGGCTGCCAGGGCCTTCCTGCCCTGATCCTAGCAGGGATTCCACTAGGCAATACAGGCAGAGCCTGTAACAATCTTCTTGTAAATGAGGTCCAGGGGGTTCTTGAGACCACAAGCCTGAGACTGCCTGTCCACCCTCTGCACCCTGAGACTGTCACTGCCCCCATCTCTCCCCTACCTCCCACATGGAACCCTCCTAGATGGCCCCCTCCCCTTTGAATGCCTGTTCCGTTAATATGCTAGGCCAGCTCAGTAGTGGAGGAAATCCTATTAAGGCTAGTGAGCTGAAATAATTTGTTTCTGGACATTAAAATTTAAAGCAGAATTTGAGAAATTGGCACACAACTTTCATACTCTTTCTCCAGTAAATGTCCCAATGGCATATAAGGCAACCATTTCTACCCCATAGAATCATAACTGATGTTCACTCTGGGAGGGCCACCCCAGAGGACATCAGGAACACCTGCAGAACTGCATGGACCCTATCTCTAGTTGTGACCTGGTTTCAGGCCCTCAGTGTGGGGTAGGGTGACTAACCATCCCAGTCTGCCCAAGACCAAGGGCCGGCTTATAAACAAATTAGGTTCAAGAGTGAGAAATCAGTTGCCCTCCATGATGGTCACACAGAAGTGTTGAAATCAACAGAAAGACCCCAGGCCCTGCATACCCCACACACTCCATTGTTTCCCTGTTTCATGCATTGCCTTGTTCTTTGCCCAAACACAAAATTCTGTCTTTCCCTTTTCATCTCCCCTCAAGCAGGCTGATTACACAGGAATCTTTTTTTTTTTTTTTTTTGAGGAGGCTTCATGCCCAGCGTGGAAACCAACATGGGGCTTGAACTCATGACCCTGAGATCAAGACCTGCGCCGAGATCAAGAATCGGAAATTTAATCGAATGAGCCACCCAAGTGCCCTACATGGTAATCATTCTGACCATCCCTTCCTCCAAATGTACAGGGCAGTGAGAACCACAAGAAAGCAAGCTGACTCAAGGAGGGCAACATGAGGCCACAGGACACAGACAGAATGCCCTGCCCTAAATGGTCCCTTGGTCTGTGCCCTGATGGGCTAGACAGGACCAATCAGGGAGGCAAGATACAACCAGTGGCCACAGCTATCCTGAGAATGGCCTGGCCCTCTCTTCCCAATGGTCATATGCATGTACTCTTGCATATGACCCACAAGGACACTCCAGGAAGCATGGGGCATGTGATGGGACCCAGGAAAGAGTACAGGTAGGAGTGACCCTGAGGAACATCTTGGGAGACAGGTCCTGGAGGAGCAGTTTGATGGGCTTCAAAGTGGACCAAAGGTAACCATCTGTGCTCAGGACACATCTGTGTGTTGTAAGTGGGACCTCCTAAGGGGACATCACAGGCAGGGCTCTGGCACCTTCCATTGACCCCTAGGTGGAGCCTTGTGAGTCTTTTTCTTGGATTCCTCATGATGGCTGGAGAAGTTAGAGCAGGTGTAGACTGGAATGAAATGGAGTCATCATCTTTTGTCTGGATTCCTCCCCAGTGTTGAACCCTTCCCCACTAAGTCTTGGACCCTTTCCTGCTTGTGTCGCTCTGATCCCATGATCACCTGGGCCCTCTCCAGTCAGCACGTGGTCCCCATGCATCACGCTGGGATGAGTCCTGCTGAACCTGAGACTAGAGAGAAGTATGGACAAGCTCAGAGCAGGGAGCCCCAGCCCACACTGCCAATCCTCACCCAGAGCAAGGAGACACCTGCTCACCACTCACGGGCCCTGGGGACCCTGGCTTTGAGCAGGGCTAAGGGTGAAGATGCAGACGTGGCTCCCAGCCCCTCTCACCATGACTTTCAGCTCCTGTTACAGAAGCTTGTCGTCCCTCCAATCTGTGCAGAGGAATACATGAGGGACCCCATGTCCCAGGCTCTGATCCCACCCACTGGCCAGATTTCTCACCTGGGCTCCCACAGCTGCTGATGACTGACGTCTTATTCTTGGAGAAAAGACACGCGCAATGATGACAGTAAGAAAAGTAAGTAAGAAAAGCAGCAACAGCAGGCAGATGGTTGTCCGTCCATGCTGGTGCGCCAGGGCCTTTCCTGGAAAAAGGCCTTATATTAACCTGGGTTCCCCAGGACCATGGGCCTGCTCTCCTGTCCCCCCGCCCCCAGCTCCTGACCCGACCAGAGTCAGAACCCCCTCCATGATCACCCAGGTTTACCCAAATGTACAGGGTGTGCAGTGTGGCTCCCTGTGGCTTCCATGTGGCCAGTGAACCTCTGCTCCTCTCCCTGGGGAATCCTTATGGCCCCCCACACCTAGTAGGTCCCATTCCCACCAGGCAGGACTCCCCTAAACTGCTGGGCATCCTGGCTCAGGGGTTCCTGATCCTGAAGCCAGGTCAGGGCGATATTCCCGGGAGAGAAACTGAAAGCCCAGCATGTTGGGGGACCATGCTCTCCAAGGCTGTTGGGGACTGTTCACTGTTGGGGACACTGAGGAGAAAGCACAGAGCCAGTGAGGCACATGGCTGAGCCCTGTTCCCCTCTACAGAAGACAGAAGTGGGCTGCTTCTCCCACCTTTCCACCTCTGGCTGGAGCCCTCATTGACCCCAGACCTTCTCCAAGTCTGTTCCGTGCCCTGGAACCCAAATTCCTTTGGACTGGCAGGAGGATGGGTCTGGGATCCAGGGCTCACTCTCTTGAATCTGTGTGTTGATGTTGAGGAGAGGGTATGAAGGGTGGGCTCTTGGGCTGAGGGGACTATAAGGGAACTCTTTGTGACAAGGAGGCTAGGGTTCCTCTCCTGCCTGACACCCACCTCCCCTGGTTCAACTTTATGTAGGAGAGTCCACTGTCTTCCTGGACTATTGACCTGGGAAAGCACATTTCCATTCCCACTTGCTTGGTGTCTTTATCCAGATGCTGTAACAGGACGGGCAGATCACAATACAGTGCACCAACAGAATATATGTGCATCCTTTAGGACAGGGAGGGCTTCCTTGGACAGGGTTGTTGTGGGGGGCTCAATGGATCTGGGGGAGAGGAAGGCCCCTGCTCCAGGGTTATACCTCGTCTGCCAAAGAAGCCCATCCAGGGTTCCAGATATTTCTGCAGGCTTCCCCGAAGCTCTCCGTGCATATGGGTGAGGAATCCTGGCTTTGAAAGCCATCTGCATCCCAGGACTTCTTGATTTCCATAGCCAAGGTATGAATGGAGGGCCAGGAAACTGTCCATCCATGGGCCTTCAGGTCATAGGAGAGAAAGAGTTCCCCATCTTAGTGGAAATGCTCAAAGCCCTGGTGCTCTTGTCTTCTCAGATCTCGAGCCCCAGACCTCCTGGAGGGAATGCATGTCTGCCTCCAGTCAGTAGTGACTTCTCCCATCCTGTGTCCCTCTGCTTTCCCTGCCCCAGTGACAAACTCCTGCCAAAGGGGTCCAACCTGCTCTCCTCCAGGTCTTCCCTGTGCTGGCTCAGTAATGGCCACCTTGAGCTGAAATGCACAGACCGTCGGTCCTCACCCCCACCCCCAGCCAACTCCAGTGAGAAGAGACAGGTCCCTCCTTTCTGCCCTGAACTTCACTGGGAACGGTCTCCCATCCTTCTTGCTCTGACGCCACTGTCATTTCCTTTCTGTGCCTGCAGGGCCAGGATGTTTGACAGAGTCTTTCTGAGGCCCTTCCTGGTCTCTCTCAAGTCTCTGGTCTCTGTGTCCCAGGACTGCTCCTGCCCACAGTCCCTGAAGCTGTGCCACATCTCTCTCAATGTCATGGTGCAGGAAGGCCTGACCATCCAAGCATCCCTCAGTGAAAAATCTCTGATGCACAGATCCATGCGGGGACACCCCTGTGAGGTTATAACAAAGTCCTTGGGATCCTATGGGGCAGGGAGGAGACCACAGATGAAACTGCTTTCTGGAAGTAACCGCACGTCAAATGTTTCTCAGAAAAGCTCTGCTGGATGACATGATACTTTATGGGGTAAACCTAAAAGACTCCACCCCCAAATTGCTAGAACTCATACAGCAATTCAGGAAGTGGCAGGATACAAAACCAGTGCACAGATATCAGCTGCATTTCTATACACTAACAATGCGACTGAAGAAATAGAAATTAAGGAAGAGATCCCATTCACAATTGCACCAAAAACCATAAGATACCAAGGAATAAACCTAACCAAAGAGGTAAAGGATCAGTACTCTAGAAACTACAGACCACTTATGAAAGAAATTGAAGAAGACACAAAGAGATGGAAAAATACTCCATGCTCATGGATTGGAAGAATAAACATCGTTAAAATGTCTACGCTGCCCAAAACAATCTACACATTCAATGCAATCCCTATCAAAACACCATCAACTTTTTTCACAGAAATGGAACAAATAATCTTAAAATTTGGAACGAGAAAAGACCCCGAATTGCCAGGGGAATGCTGAAAAAGAAAACCAAAGCTGAGGGCATCACAATGCCTGACTTCACGCTATATTACAAAGTTGCAGTCATCAAGACAGTATGGTACTGGCACAAAAACAGACACATAGATCAGTGGAACAGAACAGAGAACCCAGAAATGGACCCTCAACTCTATGGACAACTAATCTTCAACAAAGCAGGAAAGAGCATCCAATGGAAAAAAGAGTCTCTTCAGTTAATGGTGTTGGGAAAATTGGACAGCCACATGCAGAAGAATGAAACTGGACTATCTCTTACACCATACACAAAGATAAACTCAAAAGGGGAGAATGACCTAAATGTGAGAAAGGAATCCATCAAAATCCTAGAGGAGAACACAGGCAGTAACCTCTTCGACCTTAGCCACAGCAACTTCTTCCAAGACATGTCTCTAAAGTAAGGGAAACAAAAGCAAAAATGAACTATTGGGACTTCATCAAGATAAAGAGCTTCTGTACGGCAAAGGATACAGTCAACAAAACTAAAAAGCAACCTATGGAGTGGGAGAAGATATTTGCAAATGATATAACAGAAAAAGGTCTGGTATCCAAGTTCTATAAATAACTTCTCAAACTCAACACCCAAAGAACAAATAATCCAGTCAAGAAATGGCAGAAGACATGAACAGACATTTCTCCAAAGAGGACATACAAATGGCCAACAAACACATGAAAAAATGCTCAACATCACTTGTCGTCAGGGAAATACAAATCAAAACCACAATGGCATATCACCCTACGCCAGTTAGAATGGCTAAAATTAACAAGACAGGGAACAACAAATGTTGGCGAGGATGCAGAGAAAGGGGAACCCTCCTACACTGTTGGTGGGAATGCAAGCTGGTGCAGCCACTCTGGAAAACAGTATGGAGGCTCCTCAAGAAGTTAAAAATGGAGCTACCCTACGACCCAGCATTTGCACTACTGAGTATTTACCCCAAAGATACAGATGTAGTGAAACCCCAATGTTCATAGCAGCAATGTCCGCAATAGACAAACTGGAAGGAGCCAAGATGTCCTTCAACAGATGAATGGATAAAGAAGGTTTGGTTCATATATACAATGGAATATCATTCAGCCATCAGAATACCCACAATTTGCATCAACATGGATAGAACTGGATGGTATTATGCTAAATGAAGTAAGTCAAGTAGAGAAAGAATATAAGGAATAAGGGGGTGCAGAGATGGGGTAACTGGGTGATGGGCAGTACGGAGGACTTGTGATCTGATGAGCACTGGGTGTTATACAGAATTAATGAATCACTGAACACTCCATCTGAAACTAATGATGTACTATATGTTGGCTAATGGAATTTAAATTAAAAAGAAAAAGAAAAAAGAAAAGCTCTGCTGTCCTGAGCTGCTTGAAGTCTTGAGCATGCAGAAAATGCCCCTGTGCAAGGGACAGGACGGAGGCTTTCCAATGCAGGAAGAGAGGAGAGGGGGCAGGAAGGAGAGGGAAGAAGGAATGGCAGAGGGGTGTGGGGGAGATGGGCAGACATGCAGGACAGGAGCCAGGGGAGGGAGGCACGGGCTCCTGTAAAGAGGTGAAGGTAGGAGGTCAAGGGGTGAGGCTGGCCTGCAGAGAGCAAGGGAGGGGCAAGAAAGCCACGGTGAAACAGAGGTCTTGTCAGCAGGGAGGGAGGGACAGTGGGCACCCAAGGGTGAGGGATCCATGACCAGAGCTGCCATGGTGCACAGGGGGTTAGCGTGGAGTGGAGAGCCAGGGGCTGCTGCCTGTAATGAAGGCTCATCAGGGACATGGTGGGACCATGGGAGGGAGGGGCAGTGAGGCAGAGTGCTGTGGGGGGGATTGTGACCACAAGGGATTTAGGATAAGCCAGTGCCCCTGGGGGAGGGGAAAGTGTGGGCCTAGCCCCAAGTGGAAGAGTATCAGAGTGAGGCCCCATGTGGGGATGGGCTGGACCTGCCAGTGTTCCCTGGGGAGAGGCAGTAGGCAGGGGTCTCAGAGTGTAGTCCCAAGTGTAGTCTGTATTTTTTTTAAGAATTTTTTTTTTTAATTTATTCATTTGAGACACAGAGATACAGAAAGAGAGAGAATATGAGCAGGGGGAGAAGCAGAGGGAGGGGGAGAAGCAGACCCCCCGCTGAGCAGGGAGCCGGATGCAGGGCTCAATCTCAGGACGCTGGGACCATGACCTGAGCCGAAGGCAGACGCTTAACTATCTGAATCACCCAGGCACCCCAAGTGTAGTCTGTATTAGAAAGGAGGGGGAGGAGGGGCGCCTGGGTGGCTCAGTTGGTTAAGCGACTGCCTTCGGCTCGGGTCATGATCCTGGAGTCCTGGGATCGAGTCCCGGGATCGAGTCCCATGTCAGGCTCCCTGCTCAGCGGGGAGTCTGCTTCTCCCTCTGACCCTCCTCCCTCTCATGCTCTCTGTCTCTCATTCTCTCTCTCGCAAATAAATAAAATCTTAAAAAAAAAAAAAAAAAGGAGGGGGAGGGGTCCTGGGATCATCGAGCCCCGCATCGGGCTCCCTGCTCCTCGGGAAGTCTGCTTCTCCCTCTTCCACTCCCCGTGCTTGTATTCCCTCTCTTGCTGTGTCTCTCTCTGTCAAATAAATAAATAAAATCTTTTTAAAAAAGAAGAAAAAGAAAGGAGGGGGAATGGAAGAGAAAATAGAACCAAAATGCCATGGTGCACACCTTGGGGAAGGACCTGCATGGTGGGGGTGGTTCTGGGAGTGGGGGCAGGTCAGACCCCCAAAGGGTTAAGGGTGTCATCCAGCAGAGGTCGGGCAGGCTGGGGCGAAGGCTGGCTGGAGCAAAAGGCAGCTGCTAACCATGTAGCAGGAGCAACCAGTTTGGGGACTAGATGTCAGGAGTGAGGCCCAATGGGGTCAAGGAACCAAAGGAGGGATGAGGGCCAAGGATCTGGACAGTTGGACCTGGAGCAGTTTTCTGGTTGGTGGGGGAGACGGCAAGAGGCAGCAGGGGAGAGTAATGCTGAGGGCCTGGGAATGGGGGACTGGGTGCCCTGAAAAAACTTAATTACAGGCTGACAGGAGAGGAGGGGGTGTGGGCTGAGAGCCTGGAGGAGGCGTGCTGACTGCAAGGGGCCCATGGGAGGAGCTCCTGAGAGAGGAGAGCTTGGTGAGGGCCAGGCAAGTGGGCAAGGGTGCAGGCAGGCAAGGGGCCCTGGAGGAGGGGTGCAGAGGGAACCGGGAGACCCGGAGTCCAGCCCACAGGGAGAGTGGAGGTCACAAGAGGGTGAAGGTAGGCTGAAGGAGTGGGGACAGGGTGGTGCTGGGTGATGGCCCAGGATGAAGGAGGGCCCAGGGCAGGTGCCTGCATTGGAGGGGAAGGAGGGGGAGGATCTGCCAAGACAGAGGACAAGTCTATACACAAGGAGCTGAGCACCCTGCTGCAGGGCTCCCCTTGCTGAGGGCAGGAGGGCAGTGGGAGGGAGACCCTCTGGGCAAAGGGCCCTCTCAGAAAGTTAGAGTTGGGAAAAGTTGGGGCCCGAAGAGTCCTGGCCAGAGGGCTCCTTGTGGGCAATGGTCCATGAGGGGAAGAGGTGAGATGGGGGTTGGTGAGGATCAAGAAGGGGATCAGAGAAAGGAAAGAGAATGGCAGGGGGGGGCATAGGAGTTCCTGAGGGGAGATGAGGAGATGGGAGAAGGGGCCTTGAGCTGTGGTGGCAACAGTCCCCCCACCCCCCACCCCTGTACCACTGGGTAGAAGACATGGGCCCTGCAACACTTACCAAATCCCTCCCAGACCCCTGGGCCTTCCTTGGGCTTCAGTCAGCCAGACTGAACCCCATGCATCTGCAGAGCTCCCCAGCAGAAAGGCAAACCTGGCCTGAAGCAGCTGGACACACTGTCCCCATGGCTGTGACTCTGCCCACCTCGCTGTGGCCCTCGCAGTGGAGGGCTCAGCACCGCAGCGGAGAATCAAGGCCAAAAATACAATCTGAAGGAAACTGTTGGCCACGCCCCTTCATGCTGAGAAGAGACAACCCATCATGAGCAGGACATGAGCTTAGCTGGTGACCACTGAAGTCCCCTAAGTTCAGGGCCCAGGGACACAAACCAGGAGCACCAGAAAACCTGCTCCACCAGGCCTGGCACCAGAAGCAAAAACTGCCAGAAGGCTGGAAGCCAGAGATTCCAGATCCCCAGCAGGGTTAGATCTGGGGGCAATGCAGCCAAATGCTGCAGGGATAGGCTCTGGGCAGGTGAGGGTTAGGGCCCCAACCTCAGAGGCTTCAGATCCCTAGGGCCCAGAGCAGCTCAGACGTTCTTGCACTCCTGTAGAAATGAAATTTAACAGTACATCCAAAAAATGATTAACTAC